CTCCTGTCTCCAGTGCTTTCCTTAAATCCCTCTTTGCTCTGAGCAGCTGGGCAATCCTTTCCTCTAGATTTTAGCCATTGGGCAGAATTTCATGCCAGTGTTGGAGTTTGAAGGATTTTGGGAACTGTGCTGAACACTGTGCAGCCTCCAAGGGGTGCAGCTCAGGTTGGGCCATTTTGGATTTTAAACTTGAAAGGAAAGTGAATGAAACTTAAAATGAAGCAAGTGCCATAGGAAATCATAGCCCATGTCTTGTGAGGTTAATGGGCAACAGCCTGACCCCTGAAATGAGGAAATAAAAATGAAATTACTCAACATCATCTTTTTGTAGTTCCCCTTCCAACCCCCAGCTACTTCCTTTTCCTTTTCTTTTCCCACAACCCATTGTCATCCAAACCACTCACGGCTGTTTGCTCTTTTCACATCACGTGTGCAGTTTGTTTAGGGTCAGGTTGGAAAACTGATGGGTGGAATTCTTCCTGATTTATCTGTGCATGAGCAGAAAGGGCATCAGGTGATGAAGAGTGGCTGCAGGACTCTTTTAGGCTCTGGATGGTGTCTGAGGGGTGTTTCAGGCTCTGGATGGTGTGTGAGGGGTGTTTCAGGCTCTGGATGGTGTGTGAGGGGTGTTTCAGGCTCTGGATGGTGGCTCTTGGTGGCTCTGGGACTATTTTAGGCTCTCAATGATGGCCATCAGTGCTTGTGGAGGTGGTTTAGGCTCCAGATGGTGGCTGTCAGTGGCTGTAGGAGTATTTGAAGCTCCAGATGGTGTCTTTCAAAGGATTTCTGAAGAGGAAAATCCACAGCTGACGTTTGCATGGTCCACAGCTCCAGTGTGGGGTGTGTGGTAGTGGCAGGACTGAATTTAGAGGGGCCAGGAGCAGGTGCAGCACCTGCATTGCTGCTCTGCCCAGCCTTTGGTCCATGAGCAGCTGGGGACACGGGTCCAGGGGCAAACACTGGGTGTGGGGGAGTGACCCCCAGCTCATCCCTGGGCTCCAGGGGAGCAGGGAGCTGCCTCCTGGGCTGTGTGTTCCTCTACCACACCCTCGAACATCTCAGAGCTCTTAATCATCCCTATAAAACCATTTCCTCTGCAAAACAAAGCATGTATTTGGTGAAATGTCTCAGCAAAGGAAATAACTGGTTCTTTGATGAATTATCTTAAATATCAAGTTTGTAATTGAGCATAGTGCAAGTGTCAAAGTAGTCATGAGTTGTAACTGCTCTCATAAAATTTATCTTTCTGGATTACTTACAGATGCATCTTGGAATTTTTCAATAATAGCTTATAAAGGCCTTCTTTAAGCTTCCAGAGAGCAATTATCCTGCAAGAATGAAGCAGCAGTAGCTTCTACTAAAAAAAATTATACAATCTGGTTTTATTCAGGATATTTTACCATCTACAGTAGGAGTTTAGAAAATTAAATACAAGACATCAAGGTCTGTAAGTTTGGTACTCTCTCAATGTATATTTTTTCTATACACATCACTTCTGAAATTGCCTGGGAGGATATTTTGGCTCTGGAAATACAATCAAATGGGAATAATTAGTGAGAGCGAGATGTAAAAGCATGGCAGTGCTGCAGGGCAGGGATTTGTCTCCACGTTAGTCACTATCCCAATTCTGGGAGTTTTATAACCCAGCCTGTTCCCACACGTGTCCATGGGCCACAGGCCCTTCACCTCCCAGCAACGTTTCTTCCCTCTGATTTCCCACCCTTTGTCAGTGACTAATACTGCAAAGTGAAAGAAGCTTTTTATTTCACGAGAAACTCTCTGGGTTTAGGGCTGTTTTCTCCAGAGTGTGTTAACAGCAGGAAAAACAGCGTGTGGGCATCAAAATACCCTCACTGAATGGTGGTGTATTGTCTGGCCCGTGCTGGGCGATGTGTGTGTCTGCAGAGCTCCTGTCTGTCCTGCCCTGGGCACAGCTCCTGCCTGCCTGTCCCGGGCACAGCTCCTGCCTGCCCTGCCCTGGGCACAGCCCCCACGGGCTGTGTGCTGGATGCTGTCACCCTGGGAGGTGGCACTGTGCTGTCCCTTGGTGTCCCCTGGCCCAGGGCTGTGTGTGAGGCAGCCCCAGCCAGCCTGGGAATGGCAGTGCTGCAGGTACAGCCAAGAGAGAGTGTGAGGGTGGGGGAAATCAAACCCAGCACTTGGCAGTTGTGTGGAAGAGGGGTCAGAAGAGCTTTTCCAAGGTGCTCCCGGGCCATGTCTCCTGGGACAGAGGTGCTGCAGCCCTGGGCTCAGTGCCATGTGTGTGGTGTGGGGAACAGCAAGAACCTCTGTCAAGTTCTGCCCCCTTTCCCAGGGGGGGTTGGTCCATGAGCTGACTCATGTGTATGAGGCTTAATCTTCAAGTGCATCTTCTGCTTTAAGCCCTGCCTGTTACCAGAGCTCTTCTGGAAGGAGTGGAATATCAATATATCATGCCTAGGGCCAGGCTGGGCAGGAGCAGCCTTTGCCAAGGCACGAGCCCAAGGGTTGCCAGCAGAGCAGGGGTGACCCTTGGGCCACTGCAGGAGCCTCGCTCCTGGACCTCTTACACAGCAGCCCTTTCCTCAGACTTGGAAACGTTCTCTTACCCAGAGAAATCTCCCTCTAAAAGATTAGCAGAATAGGAGAAGTATTTCTTGGAAAAGGAAGGGATATTGCAGACTTGGGGCTTGGCTGAAACCCTGCTGATGTAGAGTTGTGTTAGTGGATTAACACAGACAATGGATGAAAGGTTTGTCCTTGATGACATGGGTGTAGGGTGGCAGTGTCTCTGTGTTTTATGGTTGCTGTTGACCTTTTTGTGAAACTTCCCTCTTGCTGTGTGCACACTTTGCAATTAATGGCAAAGGCATATTGTGTTTCCTTGTCTGCCCTTTTCCCTTGTTTTAAGAGCAGTCTCTGGTGATAACAAGCTCTGTTGTTTCATGGATCCAGACTGGAAGAGCAAAAGTGCAGGCAGAGAATGTCCCTGGAGCTGCTGTGCTAGGAGTTGGAATGGTTTAGGTTGGAAGGATCTTAAAACTCATCCCATTCCAGCCTGCCATGGGCAGGGACACCTCCCACTATCCCAGGTGCTCCCAGCCTGGTCCTGTGCTGTGTTTAGTGTTACCTGTGCGTGGGGGTGAGCCAGGGCACGACATCTGTGTGTGATCCCAAGGAAGGGCCGTGTGTCTCCAGGCTTTGAGTAACAGCTGAGCCCCCAGCCCCTGCAGTGAGCCCTCAACAGAGGCACTGAACTTGGAGGGGAACTTCCTTAGGGAAGGCTGCCTGTGGTGGGGCACTGCTGTCAGGGGAGCCTGCGGCTGTTTTCCTTCCCCCTTTCCACTTATTTAATTTTCTTGATATCAACACTGTTCCTAGAGGAAAACTCACTTGCTGACAGCAGCTGCTTTTGCTGCTGAATCATCCCCCGCTTGCCAGATGTGCCTGATGGATTTTCTCTGCAAACAACCATCTCTGCTTGGTCTCGTGCTACACAGCCAGGTGTCCTGGGAGGGGGAGAGGGAAGGTGCTCCTGGCAGGGCTCAGTGCCTGCCCACAGCCCAGTTTTGAGCTGCTCCATTGCATTTGTGCCCCCCTGAGCACGTGCTGGGTGTGGAGCTGATCCAAGGTGTCCTGCCGTGCTCCGGCTGGTGCCCAGCTCAGGGATGGCCTGTGTTTGGGTGACCTCCAGGGAAGGGATGTGTTTATGTGCCCTGCTGGTGGCATGCCCTGTGGCACACAGCCGTGCTGGGTGTTTTTGGTAGTGGTGGCTGTTGGGGCAGCACGGTGAGCTCTGCTGGGCCTGGCTCTGATCCTGAGAGCATCACAGGCAGCTTCCCAGCCTCGCCCTGCAGCTGGAGCTCCTGGGCACAGCACAGAGCACCCCGGGCTCCCTGCTGCTGCCAGGGGCTGGGGTGCCTGCAGCAGAGCCCTGCCTGCAGCCTCTCCCCCGTTGCTGGGGCTGTTGCTATCAACATGGCCTTTGGAAGCTCGCCCTGCCCGCTGGCTATTTCGGGAGGCAGCATGTGATGCTGCAGGCAGCTCCCCTTGCGAGGGCTCCCAGCCCTGCTCCCCACTGCTCCTCCAGCCTCGTGTCCTGCTCGGTGGAGGGTGACCCCTCAGTCACAGCCAGGATGCTGCTGGCATGTGTGTGTGTGCTCCTGGTGGCACTCTGTATTTCTCCAGCTCAAGAGGGTAAAATGGTTTAGAATAATCCTTCAGTGCTCAACCTGTCTGAGGGCTGATCTTCTTACAGCTGCTGTTGGTATTATCCTGGGCTTTTAAAGTGCCCTCACATTGTGATTAAAACCTGCCAGTGTTTTCCCTTTTTGTTGTATCTGCTGAAATGTCACTTTACTCTCCAGCAGCCAAGCAGTGGTGGGGTGGTGGTTGGGGTGGGAGGAGGAGGGTGGCTGTTGGAAGGCTGGAGAGGCCTGGGGTGGATCCTGGAGGTGGCTCTGCTGTGAGCAGTGCTGGATGCATCCAGTGCCTCATCCTGCTGCATTCTTGTGCTCCCTAAATCAGTGACATTTCTTTTCCTGTGCTCCTCTTTGGCTGACTCGTTTGCTCAGGCTGTACCTGAGGAGGGTGGTAGCTGCTCCCTGCCCCAGCTGCACCTGCCAGAGGTTCCTGCAATGCCCATGAGGGAATTGCCTGCTTTGCTCTAAGTTTATACCCTCTGGATGTGTCTGTCAGAAGAGGAGTCAGAATCATGGAACAGTTTGGGTTGGAAGGGACCTTTAAAAATCATCTAGTCCAACCCCACCTTCACTTTGTTTAGAAACCTCTAATTTCTGTTTGTACCTGGTCCATCCCATTCTTTCATTTTAAGAGCTGTCCTAGTCAGAATTTTAACATAACTGCAGAGCTGGGCCAGCCCCACATTTGTGTGCAGGAGGTCATGGTGGTGTTTGGGGACTTGGGGAGGTCCTGGCAGCAGACACACTGGTGGCACCAGCTGTGCCAGCAGCCCCAGCTGGAGCCAGGGTTTCATAAGGCTTTGTGCTTGTGTTTTCCAGGTGTACAACTCGAACAAGGACAGCCAGAGCGAAGGCAGTGAGTATTTCTTGTCAAGCCTGACCCCTGAGGGGTGGCTGAGCTGTGGGAGGGGTCAGCAGGAGATGCTGGTGACCCTGGGCTGGGGGGTGACAGGGCCCAGTGTGGGGACCCCAGGGTGGCCCCAGGGAGAGCTGAGTGTGGCACCCAGCAGGGCATGGGGCAGAAACCTGCTGGTGGGACCTGGGGCTGTGGAGGGCAGTGCCAGGCAGTCCCTGCACCCCTCAGGGTGTGTCCCTCCTGCCCACACCATGTCCCCACCCCAGTGGCACTGCAGGGGTCTGATGGCCTCAGGACCTGCTCCTGAAGTTCAGCAGAGGGATCAGGTGACACCTGGGACCAGCTCTTCTCTCTGAGCCAGAATGTGCAGGGTGAATGTGTCTTTCCAAAGGGGAATTGGAATAGAAATACAGGAGTCAGGAGGTCCTGCCTTGTGAAGATTGTCAACAAGAGCCCTTAAAAATAAAAATCTTTTTATTGTAGTTCAGGCAATCAAAGCCCTGGGTCAAGAAAGCACTTGTTTTTCTTCCTAGAGGAGCAGTTGCACCTGGTCCTGCCTCTTCTGTCCTGTGTTTTAAAACCCCTAATTGAGCCATTTCCCAGCAGGCTGGATTTGCCATAATTGCAATAGTCCAGCCCCAGTCCCTTCCCTGCTTCCCTCAGAGGCAGGGTCAGGCAGGGCCAGGCCTGGCTTGGTGCTCAGTGCTTGGTTCCTTTTGGTGCTGCCTCAGCCACGACATTTTCATCTGCAGCCCGAGCATTTTTCTCTCAGTAATTGGTATAATTTGCAGTAATGTTCCTCACACCCATTTCAGCCCTTGCACAAAGCAGTCTCTTCCCCCTCTGTGGTTTCTCCTTCCCTTTGATCCTCTCTGGCAGTGGCTGCACATCCATCCTTTCCCGTGTGTATCACCTGGCTCTGCCTCCCAGGTGATCCCAGCAGAGCTCAGCTGTGCTGAGCTGGGCAGGGCAGCGTGGTCAGTGTCCCTGGGCAGGAGCCCTGCTGGAGCAGCTCCTCTGGTCTCTTTTTCCCAGAGGGCAGAAGGAGTTTGTGGGGTGCAGAGCCCAGGGGTGGCTCAGCTCCGTGCTGCCCAGCCATGAGCTGTCAGTGCTCTGTGTCCCTGCACACAGCCCTGCCAGCTCTGAGCCTGCTGGTTTGGCTCAGCAGACCATTTTGATGGTCTCTCTTAAGGAGGAGAATGGTCCTCCCTGTCTGTCCCTGTCTGTCCTTCCTGTTCTGGGAGCAGGCTGGGACCCCTGCCTGAAGCTGCTTCTGAGCCCTCTGCTTGGGCTGGGGCTGCTGCTGCTGTGGGCAGAGGGCTGGCTGCTTCAGCCCCATTAAATCCGTGTTTCAGAGCTCTGCCTGCCTCCCCAGGCTCCCTAAAATCCATTCAGCAGCTGGCTGGCTGCCAGCAGCCCTTGGTCCAGGGCCTTCCTTTAAGGACCTGCAAGGAGTGTGGTGATGGAGTGGGTCTGGATGCAGCTCCTGGCCCTGGGGCTCTCTCTGCTCTGCTTCCTGCCTGCACTCCTGGCAGGCTGGAGGCACCTCCCAGTGCTGTGGTGGCACTTTCAGGACGCTGTAATTCTGCAGAGCTGCTGGGTTTTCTGTCCTGCTGTGTGGCCAGATGGCCGTGGGGCTGTGGGTGATTTATCTTGGTGTGCTTGCAGGGGGAGGAGGCCGAGCAGAGGGGCTGAGTGGTGTCACTGAGCCATGAGAGCCAGGGGAATTTTGATGCTCTAGTTTGCTAACCAGAAGGACTTGCCCTGCTCCATGGAAACAAATCCTCCAGGCCATTTGTGCTTATTGCATGGAACAGCACAAAATTCCTCCTTTCCCTTCCTTCCCACCATTTAACTCTCCATCTTCCACTTCCACTCTTGAGTCCCTTTGGCTGCCCTGTCTGCTGTGCCCTGGTCTGGGTGCTCTGGCCCTTCCCAGCAGTCACAGCCATGGAATCACAGAATATTTTGGGTTGGAAGGGCTTTAAAGCTCCTCTCTTCCCCTCCCTGCCATGGCAGGGACACCTTCCACTATCCCAGACTGCTCCCAGCCCTGTCCAGCCTGGCCTTGGGCACTGCCAGGGATCCAGGGGCAGCCCCAGCTGCTCTGGGCACCTGTGCCAGGGCCTGCCCACCCTCACTGTAAAAACCTCTTCCATTTCTCTAACCTAATCTGACCCCCAATCTTGGCAGCTCACTGGTAGTCAGAGCCCTGAAAACTCATGTCTGGTAAGACTTGAAAGCTCATTCCTCTGGTCTCTGCCTCATGATTTCCCCCCTCCCCAGTGGTTCTTATTTCCAAAATGCCTTTGGAGGAATTCGAGCCAGAGATGGCTGCATGGCACAGGAACGTGTGCTGGGAGGCACAGGAGCTGCTGTGACCTTGCAGTGCCCTGCCACACAGCTGGAGCCAGGCAGGCTGGCAGGGCTGGTCAGCCCCCTGCCCCCTTCCCTTGGCACTGGTATGTCACATCAGTGTAAAGGGAGGGAATTAATGGATTAAATAGGAATAATCTGCCAGGCAAGAATAGAAGGGGATGAGAGCAATTCAGCAGCACTTGGAATGTGATGCTGTTGAAGGTCAGCTGCGTGTGGGGCTGGGCAGCAGCTCTGCCCAGGTGCTGTGTGTCACCTGTGCTGGTGTGAGATGCTCCTGGATGGATCCCAGGCTGGGCATGCAGCTCCTTGGGCACTGGTGCTGCTGCTGGAGGGGGTGGCCTGGAGCTGAGCCTCACACCCTGCCCTGAGCAGGGAGGGCCTCAAGGGAGGCTCTTCCACTTGGCCTCAGCCAGGCAGGGACAGTTCAGAGTGGAAGTGAGGGAGAATTTACTCTCTGGAAGGGCTGTCCAGCCTGGGCACATCTGCCCAGGGCAGGGGGGTTCCCATTCCTGGAGGGCTTTCACAGCCATGTGGATGTGGCTCTTGGGGACCTTGGCAGTGCTGGGGGAATGGTTGGACTTGATCACCCTGGGGGGCTTTTCAAAGCCAGATGATTCCATGGATCTGTCATCTGGACAGCAGCAGATCCAGATCTGCCTTTGATCTGCACCATGGCTGAACTGAATCGTGGTAAAGGACTGAGATGAAGAGCAGATGCTCTGAGAGAGGGGAAATCAAGCTTTTACAATGCTCATTAGAAGTTAAGTTTAAGGATGAATAAAGGCACTTTGGAAATTTAATCAGCTATTATTTCTGGATATAACTACTGCAAATAATTCCCCAGCCTTTCCTGATCCAGAGCTTGACAGTGAGTGGAGGAGCTTGTTCATCTGCTTAGGGGGATTATGCCAGGTCACTTCATGCAGAGGCACTGCTGGGTCTCCTCCTGCTGCAGGCAGGTGGGATCCCAGCCTGCCTGGCCGTGGGGTGCTGGGCCCTGCAGGGTTGTGGAATCATGGAATTATGGAACAGGTTGGGCTGGGAAGGACCTTAAAGCTGATCCAGTTCCACCCCCTGCTGTGGGCAGGGACATCTTCCACTGTCCCAGGTTGCTCCCAGCCCTGTCCAACCTGGCCATGGGGGCCCCAAACATGCAGGGGGCTAAGGGAATGGTCTGTGGATGGGTTGGCACCTCCAGTGGGAGGCAGAGAGCCTGAAGCAGTGATCAGCACCACACAGGGATGCCCACAGGTCAGGGTCACACCATGCCAAGGCTGATCAGACCTGCTGACCTGGGTTTGCTGCAGTAAAGAGTTTCCACACCGTGGTTTTGAGCTTCTCAGGTGCCCTTGTGTTTATCAGTGGCCTGGGAATGGCAGCTGTGCCCTGCTGCTGATGGCACCTTGGGTTTATGCTGAATCCATGCTGGGAGCCCTGAGGGTGCCCAGCAAAGGGCCCTGCAGCTTCTGGATTGTCCTCACGTCCTGTGGCACAGGCATCCTGCAGCTCGTGTGCTTGTGTTGGCTCAGCACTTGGGCCTGCTTGCCCAGAAAAACATAATGGAGCTGTTTTCCTTTGCACTGCTGTGGGTCCTCGTGCCATTCCCCAGACAAAGCCCACCCCCAGCAGAGGACTCAAAGCAAGGGATTAGGCAGGGCTGGGAGCTGGCACTGCCCAGGGAGCAGGGGAATGCAAAGGAGGGGAGCTGCACGTGCCTTGCAGAGGGCACTGCCAGCCCTGCCTGCCCTGCCCTGCACGGGCTGTGTCTCTCACATCACAGCATTCCCTGGGGCCTGGAGCCCAGGCTGGCTTTGCCCACCCTTCCCCGAGGGGCTCCTGCCCTGTGGAAGGTTTTCCAAAGCTTTCTTAAGGGAGGAACTAATTTTCCATAACAGATATCTGGCTCTGGGCTGTGTTTTCCAGGCAGTGGTGGCAAGCTCTCTGTGGGGTGAATTTTTCCAGCAGGTGTTGGGGTCCCTTTATTAGTAATTCCCTGAACCTGGAAGTGAAAACCTGCATTGGCACAGGTGAATTGAGTTGTACATCCCATTAACTCTCATGTTTTAGCTCTCACTCCCGGGCAGAGGCAAGACACCTTGTGTGCCATTTTCAGGGATTTGTTGTGTTAAAATGTCCAATTTAATTTCTTTCCAAGCAACCCATTGTCAGCTTTCCAGACAAATTTGGGTTGTCTCACCTTGATCCTAAATGAATTTTGTCCATGTGCAGTGGTAGATGCCTGGCAGAGCCCAGGGCAGGCCTGGTTCAGAGGGATGTGGAGGCTGGAATGATGATCAGTGCCTGTGTTTGCCTGGCTTACAGCTGGTGCCAACTGCTGCACTTGTGTTTTTCTACCTCATTTATCTCCTCCTGGGCTGGGCAGCGGTGCATGGCTGGGGTGGCAGGGATTCAGGAGGAGCCTGGTGCCCCCTGAGAGGGCCTGCCCTGGCAGCTGCTCACCCTGCTCTCTGCCCTTCCCCTGCAGCTGCCCAGCTGGACAGCATCGGCTTCAGCATCATCAAGAAGTGCATCCACGCCGTGGAAACGAGAGGTAGGGCAGCCTGGGGCTGGGGCTGGGCCTGCTCTGGGGCAGCTGTTGGCAGTGCAGCAGTTGCTTTGCTGCCCTTTTCATGGGCAGAATGATTCATGAGCCCTCAGACCCACATCAGATGAGCCCATAACGTGCTGGGGCCAATGTGAGGAGCGTTTGCCCCACGGCTGGGCCAGCAGGGACTCAGCCATGGGGCAGGGTTAGGCAGTAACCCTGGGTGTGCAAAGGGGGACAGGACCCAAGGGGGTGTTCACTTCAGCCAGTCATGGGGCAGGGTTAGCCAGTAACCCTGGGTGTGCAAAGGGGGGACAGGACCCAAGGGGGTGTTCACTTCAGCATCCTTCCTGCAGGTGTGCTGCCAAGCACAGCCTCTCCTGTGGGGTTCTGTCCCCAAAAGCTCTTGTGAGTCTCCTTGTGCACAGGTGGGATTGTCCCAGCCCTGCAGGGGAGGTCAGGTGCAAAAGGCTCAGACCTCAGCCTGAAGAACTTGACACAGTAAAATTTTCCCAGATTGTCCTGGTTAAGTGCAGATCATGCATGGGGCTGCCATGGCTGTGGGAAGGAGGAAAAGTGTCCTTAGATCCTTGTTCCTGAGCTAAGTGGGGGTAACACTTCTAATGAAATAGGACAGGATATGTGAAAACCTTGATATCACCCCCAAATTGTACCATCTTCTATGGCTTTGTATTTGATAGGTGAGAAGGTTTGCTTTGCTATTTGAGAAGGCAAAGAAGTGAAAGAAATCTTAGCAGCTCTTGTGGCCTCCTGCTAACGAGCTCCTTGTTCTCCCCAGGGATCAATGAGCAGGGGCTGTACCGCATCGTGGGGGTGAACTCCAGGGTTCAGAAGCTGCTCAGCATATTGATGGGTGAGTCTGGAGTTCTGCTCAAGGAAAGTACACCGTGCTGCTTTGAAGCCTTGCCAGGCAGGAGCAGAGGCTCTTGCTGGGGTCCCTAATGGTGGTGACTGTGCCCTTAGGACCTTGTGCTGGCCGAGGCTGGGAGGCCCTGGGCCCCGTGGGCAGGTCTGAAGGTAGGACTGGCTTCACCAGGTCCTGCTGCAGTCACTGCTGTCCTGCTCACACATGCTCTGAGCTCTGGCAGCCTTCCCAAACGCAAACCAAAATCTTCAAAGAAATAGCTGAAAGCTTTGCCTTTTCATCTCCTACGTGCCCCCTTGTTCCCAGCACCCTTTGAAATGATTTTCTCCTGGATGTTGCATGATGCTGCCTGTGGCTGTTCTTGCTTTCTCCACAGACTTTCTTGTGCCTGTTTATCTCAGTCTTGCCCAGAGTTTTCCAGCATGTTTCCCTTGTGACTGAGGCATTGGATCCTGCAGTTCTGGGTGCTCCAAGCTGCTGGGTCTTGGCACAGCAGAGGTTTGCTCTGGCTGGGGGGACAGAACCATTTCAGCCCTGACTCACAGGCAGCATTTCCATCCCACAGCTGCAGCCCTGGACCAGTCTGTCCATCTGTCCAGACATGCCTGAGACACAACAGAGGGAGAGAGAGCAGAGCTGGGCTGGAGCAGGGCAGCTGCCCTTGGCCAGTCCTGTGTGATGCTGCTCGGGCTTGGCAAAACCACAGATGAAATAGCTGTAGGAACAGGGAAACAAATGCTTACTAATTTGTTAGTGCTGTGTTGAATGTGTTTGTTACTCCTTGGGAAAATGTGTGGCATTTCTGGTCATCTTCTTTCCCTTCACTTACGATCTTTCCTTTCCTACATGATTTCCTTTTCCTTGTCCTCACAAAACTCCAGTGCTCTTTTCTCTGCATATTTCTTCTTGCAAAAGGTTTTCACCTGTTGTGTTTCAACATCTTTTCCTCCTCCTATTCCAATTCCTCCTTCTTTTCCCACCGTTAAGGTGCTCAGTGAGCAAGGCCCATGTGGCTGTTGGAGCTGTCAGTGGTAACCTGTGGAAAACAGATAATCCAGGTGACTGGAGTAGAAGGGCACAGCTCCAAATCCGGGTGCAGGGCACCTCTTTGCTGTGGCCTTTGCAAAGTTCACTGCAGTCACGAGATGGGGCTGGGGCTGTTAATAGAGGAGTTTGGCACGGGCTGGGATGTGAAGGTGCCCTGAGGTCCCAGGTCCCTGCTCTCCTGTGGGCAGCCAGCACTGTCCTGTGGCACCCTCGGTGGGCACGGGGACAGCGCCAGTCCAGGAGCACTGCTGATACCAACAGGCTGCTTGCTGCCCTGGGGCAGGTGCTGGTGCTCCACAGCCAGGCCTTTGGGTGATCTCCTCACCACAGCCCACGGGTGGCAGGGCCACAGGCCCTGTTCTGTCACAGAGGTGTCAGTGCTGCTGTCGGTCCCCAGGCTGTGACAGATGGCAGAACTGGCCTGCGTGAAGAGCTCTGTGGAGCTGGGAGGGATTCAGTCTTGGACAGCATCCAGCATCCATTATCTCCCCAGCCACTGAAGCCACTCAGCTGTCGCCCTGTGTCTCATAAGGAGGTGATAAATGGCTGGTGCTTTTCCTTTGTCCTGGTGTGTCCTCCTTGGGTGGTGGTGCTGGAAGCCCTGCAGGAGGCGAGGCAGGGCTGCAGTGGGGCCCCTTTTGGGAATCCCCCATGCTGTCCATCCTTGGGGTGCTTTGCAAACCCGTGACTCTGTAACTTCCCCAAATAGTGGGGGATTAAATCTCCATCACCCGCGGTGTTCGGGCTGTGTGTGAAGCCAGTGTCCCACCAAACGTGTCCCTTGTCAAACCCATCTGTTCTCGCTGCCCTCGGGCTCCTGCTGAATGGAGGAGCCAAACTGTGCTCCCACTGTCAGGTTTCCCTTATATTTAGAAATGAATGTGGGCAGCGTTACTGCTTCACATACAGTTGAAATGGCAAAAAGATCGAGTTTCCCCGAGCTGCTGTCAGAGGCACTGCTGGGAAGGGCTTTGGCAGGGTGTCCTGCAGGAGGTGGTGGCCCAGGGCATGGCAGCAGGCTGGGGGGCAGCCCCAGCCCCTGGGGTGGGCTTCAGGGCAGATCTTGTTGGGGATGAAGCAGTGAGGGGTGCTCCCAGGGCTGCTGGGGGGCACATCATCTCCCCAGCATTCACTGGTACCATGTGCCATCCAAATGAGGGCAAAACCCAACAGATAACCAAGCTCTCATCAGTGGGAGCTCCCACGAGAGGGTTTGTTGTGGCACTGGGGCCCCAGCAGGTCTGAACCCTGCAGAAGGTGAGTTACAGCATCTGATCTGCTCTTTGCCCTGTGGGCCATAAGGGCTGGGAGTGGGGCTCCTTCCAGCCTCTCGCTGCTGGGATGTGCCACCCCTGAGGCTGTTTGGGAAGTCTCTCCATGATAACCACCCTGGACCCCTGCCACCCCTGAGGCTGTTTGGGAAGTCTCTCCATGATAACCACCCTGGGTGGTGAGCTGCTTCCCCTTGTTCTTCCCCTCACCCTGGAGAGATTTGTGAGAGAAGTCAGATGAGGGACTGGCAGCAAAAAGCAGCTCAGGGTTAGTGCTGTGGCTGTGGGAGCTTTTCCAGCCCTGGTTCCTGTGGAAGTGTGTCCTTGTGGGAGGCAGGGCTGGCACAGCACTGCTGCCTGGGGGCACAGATGCTGCAGCTGCAAGCCAAGGCAGCAGCTTCTTGCAGACTCATAAATGTGAAGGTCAAGGGGAGCTGATTAACTGCTCTGAGCCTTTTCATGGGACCGACTGTGGAATTTCACCTCAAGTTCCATGATCCTGCCTGGAAACTGCTGGGTGAGCCTTTGCAAAGAAACACACTCTGGAGCTGGTTGTTCTACTTTGGTTTAAAAGTTCCTTGTCAAAAAAAGATGGAACTTCTGGGAGGTTTTGTTAGCTTTGTTTTTTTTTTACTATGCCAAACTTATCTTGACTCCTTATCTTAAAATTCTCTCCTTGTAAAGTCAGTGCTGTAGGAAGTTTCCTGGGCATTGAGTCAGGAGGATGGAGGTCATTTGTGTGATTGCTGGGACACACATGATCTTTGTGTGAATATACATTTCTTATGTATTTACTTTTCCAAGCGCCTCTTGATGTTTTTTTAAATTAAAATAAACCCTTTGCCCTGGGGGAAAGCTGAACTCTATTCACAGCATTCTTTTAAGTAGGTTAAAAATTGCCTAATGCTTACATGGGGCTTTAAAACTCAAAAATGCATTAATTGTTGCTGTGAAGAGGCAAAAATCCCCTGAGCTGAGCCGTGGGAGCAGATGGTGTTAGCAGCTGTGTCACCCTGGCCTTGGGGACAGTGGGAGCCCTGGCAGCCAGGCTCCCCAGGGACACTTGGCACTGCTGGGACCCACACCAGGGACCCCCACAGGGGCTTCCCGGGGTTCTGCTGGGAGCAGGAGCCTGGCTGAGTTTCCAGGATGGAGTTAGCAATTGGAGCAGCATCCAGGCAGGAGTGATCAGCACAGGGGGCACTCCTATGCTGGGCTTTCTGTGGCCTTGGTTGGGTGCTCCTGGCCTTGGTTGGGTGCTCCTGGCCTTGGTTTGGTGCTCCCAGCCTTGGTTTGGTGCTCCTGGCCTCAGTTGGGTGCTCCTGGCCTTGGTTTGGTCTTCCTGGCCTTGACTGTGTGCTCCTGGCCTTGGTTTGGTGTTTCTGGCCTTGGCCGGGTGCTCCTGGCCTTGGTTTGGGTACTCCTGGCCTTGGTTGGGTGCTCTTGGACTGGGTTTGATGTTCCTGGCCTTGGTTTGATGTTCCTGGCCTCAGTTTGGTGCTCCTGGCCTTGTCTGGGTGCTCCTGGCCTCAGCTGGGTGCTCCTGGCCTTTGGCTTGGTGTTCCTGGCCTTGGTTGGGTGCTCCTGGCCTCAGTGTGGTGTTCCTGGCCCCAGCTTGGAGCTGTCACCATCTGGGTCTCAGTGGGGTGCCTGAGCCCACTTCCATGGCCTGGTGGTGGCTCTGCAGGTGGCTCTGCAGGTCACTCTGCAGGTCACTCTGCAGGTGGCTGTGGCTGTGATTCCCAGCCAGGGGCTGCATGGGGAGGTGGCTGCAGGATGATGATGATGATGATGATGCTGGCCATTGTGGGGAGGAGGGTCCCTGAGCCCTTGTGTCCTGCCTGGCTGTCACTGCTGTCACTGAGCACCTCGGGCTGCTGTCCTGGCATGCTCCAAGCCACACTGCCCTGTCCTTGCTCGGGATGGAGGGTTCCCTTTTCCTTCTCGTGTCCCGTGCCGCTGAGTGTGGCCTGTCCTGGGTGATGAGCCCCACACCCCTGCAGACGTGTCCTGGGCTGGGAATAGCAAATAAAATGGGCTGTGATGGTCTCCCCACAGCTGAGCTGGAATTGTCTTCATTTCCTCCAGTTACTGGTTTTTTGTCTTTTTCCATAGATCCCAAGACAGCCACAGAGACAGAGACAGAGATCTGTGCAGAGTGGGAGATCAAGACCATTACTAGTGCACTGAAAACATACCTGAGGTAAGGAGAAAAGCCTCACCTGCCTTCAGGAGGGGTTTGGTGCTGGCCTGGGATTTTACTGCCTGTTACTGCAGACCTTAACAACAGCTCTTTTATAGAAACAGAGCAGAAACTGCTCTTAGGGAATTTATTCTGGCTTTTCCCTGGCTTTCCAGTATGATTGAGTAGGATCTGGGGAACACACTCAGCTCTGACAGATGCACATATTATACAGACATGATTTTAAAAGCTCTCTCTTGCATCCCCTGCCTTGATTTAAGCTTTTCCCTGAGCTTTTCCCAGTGGACTTCCACCTTCGGGGCACGTGGCAGAAGGGGAGGGCAGTGCTGTGTGAGGGCAGGGGCTGAAGAGCTTTCCCAGACCTGGTGCTGAGCTTTATTGCAGTTCTGATTTCTGTGTGTCAGGTGAGCCAGTATCATCCTGGGGATTTTCCCAACAGGATTGGGTGTTGGCAGCCAGCAGCATCTCATTATCCACAACGTGCTCCTACCTGTTGTGACCACAGCTCCTTGCTGTCAGAGGCTGTTGTGTGCTGGGTTGTGTTTGAGGGAGCACAAGAGAGAGCCTAAATCCAATTAGGGTGATAAGTGTAATTAGCCTGGTGGATCTCAGCCTAGAAAATCACAGAATTTTGCATGATTGGCAACCTTTGCTCCAGAGTCTGAATGTTGGCTAAGCAAAGAGGAATGTGGGCAGCACCAGTGTGTCCCTCTGAAGGGATGCAGCAGTGGGAGGGGACAAAGGGAATGGGGATTGGGAAAGTTTTACAACCAGGCTTGTTTATCTTTTCAATTTATTTTCAAACTTACTTGGAAATCGTGGGCTCAGCAACACATGAAGCTGTGTTACTGAAGCAATGCTAAAATTAAAGATTAATTTAGTGGTGAATAAATCAAAGGTCCTTGCATAGATCTTACTCCTTCTGATGGGGGGAATTAATTAGAGTTGGTGTTGCTTAATTCTGCCCTTTTCAAAATGGAGCTGAGTTTATTGTAGGGGCAAAGCTTTCTCAGTGTGGATTGTGTTCCTCAGATGTGTTTTGTGCCTGTTTCCTTTTCATCTTCCAGAATGCTCCCAGGGCCCCTGATGATGTACCAGTTTCAAAGGAGCTTCATCAAAGCAGCGAGTGAGTTTGTTGGTGTTCATGGCCCTGCTCCCAGAGGAGCCTCACTGCCCGTGGCTGCACTCCCCCTGCCCAGCACTGGGCTGTGTCCTGGCCAGCAGAGCAGGGCTGGAGCGGGGCAGGATGGGGCTGGGAGGTGCCCAGAGGAGGAGGGGGCTCAGCTCCTGCATGGGACCATGGGCTGCTGCTGAACTGCACCACGGTGTTTGAGGGGCTCCCTGCTGCTTCACCGTCTGGGCTGTGTTTCCTTCACTGCCCAGGGGAAGGGGCTTTGCTGGGAGCAGGGGATTTTCTGTTGGCAGCCCTGCAGCCTGTGGGTGTGGGAGTGGGATGTCAGGGGGCCCTGTGTCCCACGGCCATGGCAGTGCTGGCCTCCTCCAGCTCCCACTTAGCACCATGAACCCAGGCAGCCTGTGGAGCACCAGCCTGGCCTGCACTGGGCACACTGACCATGGAATGTGCCCACATTCCCATCCCTGGCATCGCTCTGGCTGCAGCCAGCCCTGCCCTGCTCACCGTGCTGTTCCCGTGGCGTCTGCTCTCAGCTCACTGCAGTGCCTGCTGTGGCATGGAGCAGCTCCCTGGGATGTCTGTCAGGGACAGCCTTAGGCCTCTTCCCATAACAACGCCCTAATGTGGAGATAAATCATCTTCTATTCCCCATGCAGAGCTGGAGAATCAGGAGTCCAGGGTGTCGGAGATCCACAGCCTCGTTCATCGGCTCCCGGAGAAAAACAGGCAGATGCTGCACTTGCTCATGAACCATTTGGCAAAGTACGTTTATGACTGATGTGTTTTTCTCTCCTTTTTCCATTTCCTCTCAAAGTTAATAGTGGTGGAAAAGTTTCCTTGTGTGTGTGTGTGGTGTTGAGTCATTTCTGGTTGGCAACTGGAAACGCGTGTGAGTGAACCGAGGGCCGAGAGAGCGAGGGGGCTGAGGAGGGAGGGATGAGGAGGGGAGGGATGAGAGAGGGAGGGATGAGAGAGGGAGGGATGAGGAGGGGAGGGATTTGGGGGGGTAGGGATGGATGGGGGACAGGAGCTGCCCAGCCAGCCCCAGCCCCAGCAGCACCAGGAGCCCATTCACTCCTGGGAACCTTGTGTTGCTTTTGATGGCCTGGAATGGGTTTGGCTGCTCAGGCTGTCCAGGAGGCAGAGCAGGGGTGAAGCTCCTCACGTGATTTCAGAGCAAACCTGCCACCGAAGGACTAAAAGTGATTTCTTTGCGCAACAAATGGCTGCTCTGGGGTGTATTTTCTGCCTTTATGCACCCTGATGAATCAATATTTTTGTGTTACCTTGAAACTTTGCGAGGGCGAAGGAATGGGATAATTTTTTTTCTTTTGGTGGTAGAGCTGACCTGTAATTTCCCATCTTCTTCCTGCTCCTGCAGGTTCCCATGGAAACCTTTGATTAGTGTTTTAGAAGTGAAAGCATCATCAGGTGTTTGTGGCAGCCTCAAGGCTGCAGCGTTGGGCCTGCCCTTGCTGTTTGCACCAGGAGCAGCAGGGCTGAGGCAGGACTGGGAAAGCTGGGGAATGACTTAATGGGATAACTGCTTAGGAGGAGATCTGGAAGAATCCAAGTTATCTGTTTAAAAGGAAAAATAACAGATGATACTTGAAATAGGCTTAAACACAACTCCAGATGCTTTCTTGTCGCCAGGTCATGTGTCTGCTCCACAGGGTCCCTGGCAAGGCTGTTAGAAACCAAGTGGCTGGTTTAGCTCTTGGTTTCAAACCTTCTGCATTTACAGCCTGAAACCAAGGCCCTGTGGTTCCAGGTGCACCCATCAGCCAGATGGGATTGCCCAGAGAAGCTGTGGCTGCCCCTGGATCCCTGGAAGTGTCTGAGGCCAGGATGGATGGGGCTTGGAGCACCCTGGGATAGTGGGAGGTGTCCCTGTCCATGGCAAAGAGTGGAACTGGGTGAGCTTTAAGGTCCCTTCCCACCCAAAGTATTCTGGGATTCTGTGATTTCATATGTGCAGGGAATCTGTAATTGTTTCAGTGTTTTCCATCTAAAGGAAAAACCTGGTGATGGAGTAGAGATGTGGAGTCAGGTTTGCAGTGGGGTTTGTGCTGCTTTAGTGGGGAAGGAATTCAAACAAAACAAACAGTGTGTGTGGTGGTGTGTGCTATTTTAAGAAGAGAAACAGCTCATAGTGTTATTTAATAGGAAAAAAATTATCTCAGAGAAGGGCAGGAAGCTGAGGAGCGAGAGCCTGCTGAGCTCTCCAGCCCTGGTGCCATTCCTGGGGGAGATCCTGGGCTGTGGAGGCTGAGCCAGCCCCAGGTGTGGGCCCACAGCATCCCTGTGGGGCTGGCCCTGCAGCTCCTGCTCTGATCAGGAGCAGCATTCTGACCAGGAGCAGCATTCTGACCCAGGAGCAGTGCCCTGACCCAGGAGCAGTGCCCTGACCCAGGAGCAGTGCCCATTGCCCTGACCCAGGAGCAGTGCCCAGTGCCCTGACCCAGGAGCAGTGCCCAGTGCCCTGATCCAGGAGCAGTGCCCTGATCCAGGAGCAGTGCCCAGTGCCCTGATCCCATGAGGAAGTGCCCAGTGCCCTGACCCAGGAGCAGTGCCCAGTGCCCTGATCCCATGAGGAAGTGCCCACGGAGCAGCCAGGCCAGGCCTTGTGTCCATCACTCTCTAAAAGAGCTGCTTGAGGCTGCAGTGCCACTGAGCCAGATGAAAGACAAGACTGGAGAGAAGCCTTCACATCTGCAGCAGATGTTTGGAGGGAGGGCCTGGCTGCCCCGGGGGGATGCTGCAGACGGGTGGGACCAGCTGGGTCTGGTGCTGCTGAGGGCAGGGCACCACAGCCAGCAGGGGCAAAGCCAAGGGCCTCTGGCTGCCCTGCCAAGCTGGGCTGCACTGCTTGGAGGGCTTTGGCTCATCTGTTTCTGTCTGGGTTTTTTATTTTAAGTAACGTATGAATAATCAAGATTTGCATGTTTATCAGATGAGCTAAAAAAATATTTCTCACAGTCTTGCTGTGGAGATTTCTGACAGTAAAACCAGAACTTGGGCTGAGTCGGTCAAGTAGAGAAAGAGCCTGTTTTGGGTGGTTTCTGATCTGTGTTTTTGGGGTGTACGTGCTCTGCTGCACTGATGAGGGATGTGGGGCTCCTCATGTGATGAAGCTGCAGTTTTCATTGGCAGTAATAAAACTGGTAAGAAAGCTGAAATGTTCAAAAAGAGCAATTATTGACCCCAGTATCAGGCAGGATAAGTGCCTTGGAGGTGGCTCAGCAGTGCCCTTCCCCATGTGGTGGGTCCATGGCATATGGGGGCCACAGAACTGGGGTGCAGTGAGAGGGGCACAGAGGAGGGACAGGACAAATCTAGGAACAGGCACAGACAGGGTAGAGGGCAAGGAGCATTTTGATAGACAATTATCTCAATTTCTCCCTCTTACTGCCTCTCCAAGCCCACTTGTGCTGCCTTCTGCCTCATGTCCACATGTCTGGGCAGTTGTTCACTGTGGCCCAGAGAGCAGGAGCTGTCCCCATCCCTGTTTGTTGTAGCCTTCCAGCCTGAACCACTCTGGGATTCTGTGATTAAACCAATTTGTTTTAATGCCAAATAAGTCAAAGTGAAACAAGGTGCCTGTGGTGCTGCTGGGCTGTTGGTTGCTGTGCCAGGGAGTGCTGCTGGAGTGGAGCTGCTTGCAGAAAATTGCCATTTTTGTTGGAGGTGCTGCAATATCATCCCTGTCTCCTTCTTTTGCAATGTACTTTCTCACCCAGGAGTCAATGCTGTGGAGGTGCAGAGCAGGGGGATTTCACTCTGATTATATTTCAGGCATTTACGGAATTATTTTTCATGCATGGCCATAATTTGACACCTGAGCTTTGCTCTGTTCTTGTGGCAGCGAGTCCAGGTTCTCCAGCACAGATGGTGCCAGGCTCACACCCCTTCTGCGGGGCTCCCAGACCCTTCTGTGGGTTGGCATCAGTGCCCCACAGCAGCCCTGATCCCCTGCTCTTGTGCCAAGGCCAGGCCATGGAGGGGCTGCACTGAGCTCCGTGTACGTGTGTTTAGCAGAATTAATTATCTCTAATCACTCCCAGCTGTGGCCTGGCCACCACGGGCTGGTTCCCCTTGGTTTTGCTGTGGCGGTGTTTTCTAGTTTACGTGTTTTAACCGAGATGACAGCGATTGTTATCTCCTGCAGCAATTGTTTGCTGTTTATCAGGGCCATGGTTTCCACGGGCTCTGCAGGGCAGCTGCTCATGGGGATCCAGCAAAACCCTCGCTGGGGCAGGGGCTGGACACAGAGCCTGGCACGTCCCAGAGGGCTCTCTGCTCAACCAGGGATTGCTGGCAATGCAGGAGAAGAAAAAATTCCTCCAGGTCTTCTGCCTAAAAATACAGCCAGGCTTGTTCTGCTCGGCGTGGGGCAGCTCCGCGCCGTGCCCGGGGCCACGGAGCCCTGCAGGAGCTGCTGTGGAGCTCAGCACACTGCCCCTGTGCCCAGCAGCTCCAGGACCCCACTGGCACCTGTGCAGGGCCAGGGGTGGCAGCTCCCCCAGGAATGTGCTTTTCCTGGCGTTGTTTTGCCGGTTTCCCCCGAAGGTGCAGCCGGCAAGGAGGCTGACGCCTCTTGGCACAGCAGGGCTGATTTCATCCCCGTGGCAGCTGTTTATGCTGCTGTCTGGTAACTATTCATTTGCTTGATTTATGTATTGCTTCCAGTAAGTCATTCTGGTCCAGGACATTCTGGAAATTTCCACTAGCCACTGAGGCCTCTGAGGTGCCCCGCTCCCGTGTGCTGCTCGCCTGGTTTGGCTGCCAGGAGCAAACGGGGAGCTGCTGTGCCTGGGCCAGGCAACGGTCCTCCTTGCTGCCTTTGGGAATGCCATTTTTATGCCCAGTGCCTGTTTCTGCTCCTTTTGGGTCATGGCGGTGCTGGATCCAGGCAAAGCCTGGAGTTCAAGTGACCCAAAGGATCTGGGTGCTGCTATGGGTGGTAAAAGGGAGGTGACATGGAAGGAGACTCCCTGCAGGCACATGCTGCCTTGCAGGACAGGGAGAATCCTTCCTGGGGCTTGCCTGTCCTGGGTCAGGTTCATGCTGTGCTCTTTTACCCCTTTTCCTTTTTCCCTGGCTGTCATGAGTTGGGTAAGGTCCCTTCCAACCCAACCCATTCTGTTGTTGCATGATTCCATGATTTGTGCTCTGGAGCTGGAGGTACCAGAGCCTTGTGGGGAGCAGCAGCACCTTTGGTTTCCCCTTTGCTCTCCTCTCCCTCAGGTGTTTTGGTGGAGGAGCCAGTGATGCTTCCGCAGAGGCGAGACAGCCCTGCAGGACTCCGTGCCTGCCCTTGCCAGCTCTGCCTCCCTCTCACTCCTCTGCTTTTGTTTTTAATATAAGATTCTGCAGAATTATAAACCACCACAAAAAGCCCTGTAGGTGTACGCTGGGTTTTTTGGGCTTGGCTTCCTGTAATGTGTAAATTAGCTAAAGGTTTTGTTCTGCTTCTGCAAGTGAACTTTTAACCCCCTGTGTCTGGATTGTCCCTGGAGCAGCTGTGTGGGTGCTGGTAGCTTTTCCTTCCATGCTTCTCTGAAAGCTCCTTATATTTCATGCAGGCTCTGCAGTTTTTAGCTGGAGGGGAATGTGCCCCAGAGCCTGCAGTCCCTTGTCAGGGTCTTTTGCACCCACATCCTGCACCAGGCTGGAGTCTGGAGATAGGATAATGGGGTCTTGCACTAAAGCTGGCATCACCGACCTGGCATGATGATTCAGCAGCTCGTAACAAAGCACCT